TAAGTGCTAAATAATTATTTTTTAATTATTAGCTTTGTCTTTATATTTTTGTTTTTTGGCTACCATGATTGAAAATGTAATTTTATAAACATAGTCAAGTTTGCTCAAAAAATCAAAATAAAATTTAATTATATATTAGTTAACCCAGTCCAGTGACAATTGGTAAATTTACAATTCCATTAAATATATATTAGTTTCTGCATTATTTTGTGTATATACATATTACATGCAGTAAATCAATAATTCATTGTTTATGTAGATACTATAATTGTATAAGGTATACTGTATATATATAGTTAATTCTATGAGACATGTTAGGCATTACCTATGCAATGTGAAATATCTGTAATGTTGTGCAATCCAATAAATAATAATTCAAATAATATTCCAAAAAATGAGTAATAAATTACACAAAATATTTAAATAATTTGCTAATTTGATAAACCAAGTTCATAACTTAATAACAATAGTTACAACACTATTCTCTTTTTTTAGAACCCTAATTCCTTAAAAAACATGAATGAAGCAGTTGAAGCTGAAGTTGAGCCAACAACCTAAGCAGCCCAAATTTGATGATAATTCGTCATCATCTGGTAGTGCAAGTCGCTGAAATACTCCTGTCTTGGACAAAAAAAAAGGCACAGACTCTTAGAGCTACAGAGTTGTTTGGTATAGATGCTGCAATCTGTGCTGATGATGCACTAATCACTGGTATCCGATTGCCAACCTGCTTGCAAGTTTTGAGATGCATTATGTATCACAGTAAAGAGGCTACCCATGGTAAGCGACCAGGATCACTTGGTGCAACATCAAGATTCACATCTGCCAAGATAGTTCTGAAACAGGTTAAAGCTTTGTATGAAAAAGCCAACATCCCAATGGTCACCGAACGTAGAGCATGCGAAAAAATAGTGATGATAACAATAAACTTCGTTCGATTGATTAAAGTCGCCGTGAAACACCTGCAACTCAGCACAAGCTTCTTGAGATGCAGTCCATGTTGGCAACAACTTTTCAACTCTGGCCGGCCAACGTAGATAGTCTTATGAACAATGATGAAGATCTTGCATTCCTGCAGTCAATGAAAACTGATAGAGCCGCAAGTTTTGGGGTATTTGACAAGGCGCTTGCTCAGAAGATAAACCAGCATCATTGTCGTGATGTTGCAGCATTAGAACGCCTGAAGCGTGCTCGTGGTGAGATTGAAGCATCAACCAAGACTGTGTTACCAGAAGTTGTAACTGAGGAATGAAAGTCTGATTAGTGATGAGTCAAGCGAGTCTGCTTCTGAAGATGACATGGAATCAGAATTTAGATCTCCATAAAAAGAAATGGAGCTACAAAAACCAAACCGTATAAAACCAAAAGGAACATTGTCATTCATACCACCAGATTTGCTAAGCCGACCAAACCTTGTGTCATTAGCAACACATCTGAAGATGACGCCAACACAACAATCTGCATTCACACAAGGAGTCATAGCTGAGTCTGGTGGCGATGTATCAATGGTTGCTTTTTCGTATGCAACTGCAGATCGCGCACGACGCAAGGTTGTACGCGAAATTTCTATAGAAATTCACAATAGCTGGGAACCACCAAAACTCTGTTCTCTGCATTGGGATGGAAAGCTGACACCAACTCTTGAAAATAATCGTGTCACTGAAAAACGTACGACGGTGGTTGTTGGTAATGCATTGCAGTTGAAGCTACTGGGAGTGCCTAGTTACTTCAAGGGTACAGATCAATCTGTTGGAGAAATCATTGCCAAGCTAACAGTGAACCTAATGATCGAGTGGCATTGTAATGATCGAATTGTTAATATGACATTCAACACAATGAGCTCAAATACAGGTCACCTAACTGCAGCTTGCATTGCCATTCAAGATAAGCTGGTACGTGCTGTCCTCTGGTCAGGATGTCGTCATCACATTGGTGAAGTACTTCTATCTCACGTGTTTACTGACCTCAAGATAGATAGACTGTGGACAAGGTGATTTCGCAGTCAGCAATTCGAGCTCTAAATCGGCACCTGTGGTATCTCACTGAGGAAATGGTGCCACTTGCACTGTTCAGTAAGCTTGTACCATTAACGGAACGACGAGCTCTTGCAGATGCCTTGCTCAAATTGAAACCATCAAGTGATCTGCAAGCTCCAATGAATCGATTTGGCAATGGATGGGGCAAGCCACATTTTCCATTGTCCATTGATCATAGAACACAACTGAGTGATCTGGTTGGAGTTGACTCCTGGTTTACAGTTTACCGTCTACAATTAGACACCAGCTTTCTGGAAATTTCGGTCGATGAATGGGAAAAGACACCTGCTTACATTGCCAGTGTTGAAAATTGTGCAGCAGTGAACGTGGTGAATAATTGTGCCGAGAGGGGTGTCAAGCTGGCATCGGACTTTGTTGAAACTGCACGATTGGATGAGCATTATCAAAACATTCTTCAAGTGGTCGAGAAAGATCGGAAAGAGACACCAAATTTGCGACGCAAACGATGCAAGAAGGAATAAACATTAACAGTTAATCTAATTTTGGATTCATTTGACATCTTTCTACTACTATTAAAACAAATAAAGATTCATTACTATAGTTAATTAGTCATTAATTAGACCTTAAACTGCAATGAGGATTGAATTTTATTAAAAAAGAACTGACTATTAGTCATGGTAGTCGATGATTTTTGCATTTTTTGGATAATGATTTTGTGCTTTTTGTAGAAAAAATTGAATAGAAAATTATTTTAGTAATCTCAATTTGATTTTATCTGTTCAGTTGCCTCCATTATACAATTAAAACAATTTAGGTTTATTACTATAGTCATTATTCTCATTAAAGGACAATAAGTATTAAATTTTATGAAAAAACTTACTAGTCAATCGACTGTGTCTTGCGGTTGGTTTCCTGGATTTCAAATTCTCACCTCTAAACTTACTTTTTTCATTTACAAATTTCACTTAAGTTATTATTATTCACATTACAACACATTGGAAACACAGACAGCTCAAAAATAAACAACTAATTTTTTGCCCTAATGTGGTGATGCACCCTAATATATATATATATATATATATATATATATATATATATATATATATATATATATATATATATATATATATATATATATATATATATATATATATATATATATATATATATACATATATATATATATATATATATATATATATATATATATATATATATATATATATATATATATATATATATATATATATATATATATATATATATATATATATATATATATATATATATATATATATATATAGATATATAAATATATAAATATATATATATATATATATCTATATATATATATATACATATATATATATATATATGTATATATATATATATATATATATATATATATATATATATATATATATATATATATATATATATAGAAATATATATATATATATATTTATATATTTATATATTTATATATATTTAAATAAAAGAGTCTATAATTAGATCTAATATTTATAAAGAAGTTAGAAATAAATTTGGAAACAAAATAAACTCAAAATTTTTCTTTTTGCAACTTAGCAACTGTTAAAAATTTATTAATAAATGATGATATAATTTTTTTTTTGGTGTAATTGATCTCATTCAAATGAAGTTTGTATAGGTGCATAAAATCCCAAATTTAGTATTGTTACTGTTGTGATGTTTAGTCTTTAATTAGCAAAAAGTTCAAAAAAATCAACAAATATGTTACACAATAGTTCGAATATTGAATCATTGCATGACATATTAATTATTATATATGTAATGATTGCATTTCATAAAAAATCTCAAAATTATATTTTAATGTCTTTTTATTAATTTTTTTTAGAGTACAGACAGTAAAGTTGATAAGGATGCAAAAAAGACAAAAAAAAATAAAATTCTACAAGAAGAAGATGAAGAGGTCAGTCAGCATTTTCAAAAAAAAACAACCGTTGCACAAAGATCATCCTTTATTTGTTGTTGAGAAAATTTGATAATTTAGTCTAGGCAGTTTTTGATTAAAGGTTTCTTACTTCCAATTTAAATTTGCTGCCTGTCAGACTACTGTTTCTAGTCTCTGCTGCCTCTATTGTATTTCTCTCTATGTTTCTGTCTATTGCATCACCCTCTCTTTGTCTTTACATATGGCATTACTTTGTTGTTTTTTATCTCCTAAAAATGTAAAATAATTTATATTTTTTTAAAATAGAAGTGTTTATATAAAAAAAAAAAAATATTAAAGAAAGGACAAATTTAGAATTTTTTTTTAATTGATTGTAGGGCGTGACAAATTTTTTTTTTATAATTTAATTTTAATTTGTCAAACACTCTTAGGTCGGCAGTTAGGTCGACATTGCCGAATGCTGACCTTAATTCTGATGATTTTATATATATATATATATATACATATATATATATATATATACATATATATATATATACATATATAAATATATATATATATATATATATATATATATGTATATATGAATATATATATATATATATATATATATATATATATATATATATATATATATATATATATATATATATATATATATATATATTAATATATATTTAAATAAAAAAGTCTATAATTAGATCTAATATTTATATAAAAGGTAGAAATAAATTTGGAAACAAAATACACTCTAAATTTTTCTTTTTGCAACTTGGCAACTGTTAAAAATTTACTAATAAATGATGATATGATTTTTTTTTTGGGTAACTGATTTTATTCAAATGAAGTTTGTATAGGTGCATAAAATATCAAATTTAGTATTGTTACTGTTGTTATGTTCAGTCTTTAATTAGCAGAAAATTCGAAAAAATCAACAAATATGTTACACAATAGTTCAAATATTGAATCATTGCATGATATATTAACTATTATATATGTAATGATTGCATTTCATAAAAATCTGAAAATTATATTTTAATGACTTTTTTTAAATTTTTTTTAGAGTACAGACAGTAAAGTTGACAAGGATGCAAGAAAGACAATAAAAAATATAATTCTACAAGAAAAAGATAATAAGGTTAGTCAGCATAAAAAAAAAAAAAAAACATTGCATAAAGATGATCCTTTATTTGTTGTTGAAAAAATTCGATAATTTAGTCTTGGCTGTTTTTGATTAAAGGTTTCTTACTTCCAATTTGAATTAGCTGCCTGTCAGACTACTGTTTCTAGTCTCTGCTGCCTCTATTGTATTTCTCTCTTTGTTTTTGTCTATTGCATCACCCTCTCTTTGTCTTTACATATAACATTACTTTGTTGTTTTTTATCTCCTAAAAAATGTAAAATAATTTATATTTTTTTAAAATAGAAGTGTTTATATAAAAAAAAAAAAAATATTAAAGAAAGGACAAATTTAGAATTTTTTTTTAATTGATTGTAGGGCGTGACAAATTTTTTTTTTATAATTTAATTTTAATTTGTCAAACACTCTTAGGTCGGCAGTTAGGTCGACATTGCCGAATGCTGACCTTAATTCTGATGATTTTATATATATATATATATATATACATATATATATATATATATATACATATATATATATATACATATATAAATATATATATATATATATATATATATATGTATATATGAATATATATATATATATATATATATATATATATATATATATATATATATATATATATATATATATATATATATATATATATATATATATATATATTAATATATATTTAAATAAAAAGGTCTATAATTAGATCTAATATTTATATAAAAGGTAGAAATAAATTTGGAAACAAAATACACTCTAAATTTTTCTTTTTGCAACTTGGCAACTGTTAAAAATTTACTAATAAATGATGATATGATTTTTTTTTTGGGTAACTGATTTTATTCAAATGAAGTTTGTATAGGTGCATAAAATATCAAATTTAGTATTGTTACTGTTGTAATGTTCAGTCTTTAATTAGCAGAAAATTCGAAAAAATCAACAAATATGTTACACAATAGTTCAAATATTGAATCATTGCATGATATATTAACTATTATATATGTAATGATTGCATTTCATAAAAATCTGAAAATTATATTTTAATGACTTTTTTTAAATTTTTTTTAGAGTACAGACAGTAAAGTTGACAAGGATGCAAGAAAGACAATAAAAAAATATAATTCTACAAGAAAAAGATAATAAGGTTAGTCAGCATAAAAAAAAAAAAAAAACATTGCATAAAGATGATCCTTTATTTGTTGTTGAAAAAATTCGATAATTTAGTCTTGGCTGTTTTTGATTAAAGGTTTCTTACTTCCAATTTGAATTAGCTGCCTGTCAGACTACTGTTTCTAGTCTCTGCTGCCTCTATTGTATTTCTCTCTTTGTTTTTGTCTATTGCATCACCCTCTCTTTGTCTTTACATATAACATTACTTTGTTGTTTTTTATCTCCTAAAAAATGTAAAATAATTTATATTTTTTTAAATGAAAATGTTTATATATATAAAAAAAAATTTGAAGACAGGAAAATATTTAGAATTTTTTTATTGAAAGCAATGCGTGACAAGTTGTTTTTTTTTTTTTAAATTTTAATTTGTCAAACACTCTTAGGTCGGCAGTTAGGTCGACATTGCCGAATGCTGACCTTATTTCTGAGGATTTTATATATATATATATATATATATATATATATATATATATATATATATATATTAATATATATATATATATATATATATATATATATATATATATATATATATATATATATATATATATTTATATATATATATATGTATATACATATATGTGTGAGTAGTAAACATTATATATATATATATATATAATTATATATAAATATATATATACATATATATATATATACATATATATATATATATATATATATATATATATATATATATATATATATATATATATATATATATATATATATATATATATATATATATATATATATATATATATATATATATATATATATATATATATATATATATATATATATATATATATATATATATATATATATATATATATATATATATAAAAGAGTCTATAATTCAATTTATTATTTATATAGAAGGTAGATATAAGTTTGGAAACAAAATAAACTTAAATTTTTTATTTTTGCAACTATGCAACTGTTAAAAGTTTACTAATAAATGATGATATGATTTTTTTTTTTGGTGTAATTGGTCTTATTCAAATGAAGTTTGTATAGGTGCATAAAATATCAAATTTAGTATTGTTACTGTTGTAATGTTTAGTCTTTAATTAGCAGAAAATTCAAAAAAATCAACAAATATGTTACACAATAGTTCAATTATTGAATCATTGCATGATATATTAACTATTATATATGTAATGATTGCATTTCATAAAAATTTGAAAATTATATTTTAATGACTTTTTTTAAATTTTTTTTAGAGTACAGACAGTAAAGTTGACAAAGATGCAAAAAAGACAATGAAAAATGAAATTCTACAAAAAGAAGATGAAAAGGTTAGTCAGCATTAAAGTTTTCCAAAAATTAAATTCAACCATTGCACAAAGATGATCCTTTTTTTTGTTGTTGAGAAAATTCAATAATTTAGTCTTGGCAGTTTTTGATTAAAGGTTTCTTACTTCCAATTTGAATTTGCTGTCTGTCAGACTACTGTTTCTAGTCTCTGCTGCCTCTATTGTATTTCTCTCTTTGTTTCTGTCTATTTCATCACCCTCTCTTTGTCTTTACATATGGCATTACTTTGTTGTTTTTTATCTCGTAAAAAATGTAAAATAATTTATATTTTTTTAAAATAGAAGTGTTTAAATAAAAAATAAAAATATTGAAGACAGGACAAATTTAGAATTTTTTTTTTAATTTATTGTAGGGCGTGACAAATTTTTTTTTTATAACTTAATTTTAATTTGTCAATCACTTTTAGGTCGGCAGTTAGGTCGACATTGCCGAATGCTGACCTTAATTCTAATGATTTTACATATATATAATATATATATATATATATATATATATACATATATATATATATATATATATATATATATATATATATATATATATATATATATATATATATATATATATATATATATATATATATATAAATATATATATATATATATATATTTAAATAAAAGAATCTATTATTAGATTTAATATTTATATAGAAGGTAGATATAAATTTGGAAACAAAATAAACTTAAAATTTTTATTTTTGCAACTTAGCAACTGTTAAAAATTTACTAATAAATGATGATATGATTTTTTTTTGGTGTAATTGATCTTATTCAAATGAAGTTTGTATAGGTGCATAAAATATCAAATTTAGTATTGTTACTGTTGTAATGTTTAGTCTTTAATTAGCAGAAAATTCAAAAAAATCAACAAATTTGTTACAAAATAGTTTAAATATTGAATCATTGCATGATATATTAATTATTATATATGTAATGATTGCATTTCATAAAAAATCTAAAAATTATATTTTAATGACTTTTTTTAAATTTTTTTTAGAGTACAGACAGTAAAGTTGACAAGGATGCAAAAAAGACAACAAAAAATGAAATTCTACAAGAAGAAGATGAAAAAGTTAGTCAGCATTAAAGTTTTCCAAAAATTAAAATCAACCATTGCACAAAGATGATCCTTTTTTTTGTTGTTGAGAAAAATCAATAATTTAGTCTTGGCAGTTTTTGATTAAAGGTTTCTTACTTCCAATTTGAATTAGCTGCCTGTCAGACTACTGTTTCTAGTCTCTGCTGCCTCTATTGTATTTCTCTCTTTGATTTTGTCTATTGCATCACCCTCTCTTTGTCTTTACATATAACATTACTTTGTTGTTTTTTATCTCCTAAAAAATGTAAAATAATTTATATTTTTTTAAATGAAAATGTTTATATATATAAAAAAAAATTTGAAGACAGGAAAATATTTAGAATTTTTTTATTGAAAGCAATGCGTGACAAGTTGTTTTTTTTTTTTTAAATTTTAATTTGTCAAACACTCTTAGGTCGGCAGTTAGGTCGACATTGCCGAATGCTGACCTTATTTCTGAGGATTTTATATATATATATATATATATATTAATATATATATATATATATATATATATATATATATATTTATATATATATATATGTATATACATATATGTGTGAGTAGTAAACATTATATATTTATATATATATATAATTATATATAAATATATATATACATATATATATATATATACATATCTATATATATATATATATATATATATATATATATATATATATATATATATATATATATATATATATATATATATATATATATATATATATATATATATATATATATATATATATATTATATATATATATATATATATATATATATATATATATATATATATATATATATATATAAAAGAGTCTATAATTCAATTTATTATTTATATAGAAGGTAGATATAAGTTTGGAAACAAAATAAACTTAAAATTTTTATTTTTGCAACTATGCAACTGTTAAAAGTTTACTAATAAATGATGATATGATTTTTTTTTTTGGTGTAATTGGTCTTATTCAAATGAAGTTTGTATAGGTGCATAAAATATCAAATTTAGTATTGTTACTGTTGTAATGTTTAGTCTTTAATTAGCAGAAAATTCAAAAAAATCAACAAATATGTTACACAATAGTTCAATTATTGAATCATTGCATGATATATTAACTATTATATATGTAATGATTGCATTTCATAAAAATTTGAAAATTATATTTTAATGACTTTTTTTAAATTTTTTTTAGAGTACAGACAGTAAAGTTGACAAAGATGCAAAAAAGACAATGAAAAATGAAATTCTACAAAAAGAAGATGAAAAGGTTAGTCAGCATTAAAGTTTTCCAAAAATTAAAATCAACCATTGCACAAAGATGATCCTTTTTTTTGTTGTTGAGAAAATTCAATAATTTAGTCTTGGCAGTT